GAAGGCTGGAAGGCTTTTTCTTAATACTGCCATCTGCTTTTCTCAACAGCTGTGGTCATCCCAGTGAGATACCCTATATAAACTTTTACAGTTGAGCTTCGTCTGTTCTACTCCATCCTAGGTGTTCTGCATGTTTGTCAATTCACTTATTTTGATATTGACAGAAGGGGAATCACTCAAGAGTGCTCAAAATACAGGTTGTTCAATATCTCTTGTGACACAGAACTGAGAACAAGTAACAGACTTGCTCTGAGGGTCCAACAAGCAGTATTTCTTCAGTTAAAAGCAAGAAGAGATCCAGTAGTAACAGAGCACGATTGCTTAAAAACACTGCAGCAGCATAGAGTTGATATGAGCACTGTTTTCTTTCCTGCATGGGTTAGTGCATTTGGTTACTGTCTTAAACTTTTATCATCTTCAACCTTTGAAGTAAAAATCTTCACTTAATGGGGAATGAGTTGTCTAAAAGTAAATGAAGCCTTCGTAGAAACATCAGTCTACTACTAAGCAAAGTAGTAAAGTACATTTTTTTTTTGGTGGTGATAATTCCTCTAACGTTCTTGCTCCTGATTTAATGTAACTAGAACAGAGTGAACTGATCCTGAGTTTAACCTAATGCAGAAGTGAAGACTTTTGAACACATATCTGCCTGCAGTCTTCCCAGTGTATGAAGCTAGGGTAACCACTGACTTCTCTTCAGCATTTTTATGTGTGTTTGTTGCTGGGGTTTGGCATTTTTAAATTTTTTTTTAAGGAATTATTTTTGTAAACTCTGAGATTGTGTATGTGCCTCAGACATTTGAGTTTATACACATTTTTGCAAGGTATAGCTATGCATTTTATTACTAGTAGCAAAACCGGCAGTGCCTCTTCAGGTACTTCTGCCTGTCTCAACTAGAAACAGCTTCTTACTGTATATAGAGAGTTTAAAAAAAACTTTTGACATATGTTAGCTTCTTTAATACCCTTTTTCTTCCGCCTGGGAGAAAAGCATGTCTCAATGGAAACATTCTGTTCACAAACAGTTCATTTTACAAACATAGAAGAACAGGGATGCACCTGCTAGTTTTTTCTGGATAAGTTAGTCTATGCCACAGCCAACAGGCACACCCTTTCCCTTGCCAGTATCCTTCAGAAAACTGAGTGCATAACTAAGAAATCTGTTCCTCAGAAATGCTATGCTGGCGGAACTCTTCTGATCTGTTGTAGAATGGAGAAGTTGGGGAGGAAGTCTTCCTGTGGGGTCTCACTGTTTCTTATATCTCTTTGCCTTATGAAACTTGCATGTGCTGGGGTGCTGAAACAAGGCGAGCAGCCCGCTCTGCTCTCAGGATGCAGTTACACTATGTATGGGAGAGGTTCAGAGGTTACTTTGGACAGCTCAGGGAAGTGGGGTGGAGCATGACACAACCATTGAGCGGGAAACTGAATTGCTGCTGTTGGATACTGTGAGCCCCAGCATCTTTGTCACCAACCTTCAGAACGGTACTCTGCCTGAGTAAGGACAATAGAATTCATTTTCATGTATGTTAAGGGCAAAATGGTCTGTATGGTCACCCATTACCTAATGTCAAAAAGCTGGAAGTTCCTTTTCTGCATATTTTAAAGGAGGCTGGTAGAGGGGTTGGAAGTCCATGTCCCATGGTTATGTTTCATTCCATCAATAACTAGTAAAAAAATACAAAGGTGGGGGGTTTTAATTAGCATGTCTGCAATAGCTTGCAGCTAGATTTTTGAAGTTCTTTGAGCCCTTAATTTTTTTCAGTAAGTCATGGAAATCTGACAAAGGACTTAAAAGGGTACCTTTGTTCCTACGAAAGATAACAAGGTCCTGCATTCAGTTTGTGGATTAAGCACAGAATTCATGCTTTTTTTTTTTTTTAATATCTCATTAGCTGTTATTGTCATTCTACTTTATTTGACCAGTGAGTTTTTTGAGATGATGTCTTGATGACAGCACTTCTTGCTGAGAATGATGGTTAAGGTAGCGCTGATGCAATAAAGCTCTGAAGGTGTTTGACTTGCAACCGATGCTGTTTATTTAGAAGCTAGAATGATACAAAGCCCTGTGCATTAAATCGGAGTAACAGACTTAAACAATGTATTGTGACATAAATACAAAAAAAAAAAAAAAGTCTGGGCTATTTCACAAGTTGAGCAAGAGTTTGCTTTAATATTGCAAAATGTAAAGGCTCAGATCTGGAAAGAAAAAGGGTCAGAATTGGAATGGAGGCTTTGCATGTGCTCTGTGTGTCTAAGCTCCACATGTAATCAGTGGGGCCAGTTGTTCTGTTACTTTCATCCTTGGCTTACTGTCTGGTTGCTTGCTGGTGGATGAGAAGCTAGACAGGAGCCGATGATGTGCACTTGCAGCCCAGAAGGCTAACCGTACCCTGGGCTGCATCAAGGGAAGTGTGGCCAGCAGGTCGAGGGAGGTGATTCTGCCCCTCAGCTCTGCTGTGGTGAGACCTCACCTGCAGTGTTGTGTTCAGCTCTGGGGCCCCAGTGTCAGAAAGACATGGACCTATTGGAGCAGATCCAGAGGAGGGCCACAAAGATGATCAAGGGCTGGAGCACCTCCCCTGTGAGGACAGGCTGAGAGAGTTGGGGTTGTTCAGCCTGGAGAAGGGAAGGGTCTGTGGCCTTTCAGTACTTAAAGGGGGCCTATAAGAAGGATGGGGGCAATCTTTTTAGCAGGGCCTGTTGTGATAGGACAAGGGGTAATAGTTTTAAACTAAAGAGGGCAGATTCAGACTAGATATAAGGAAGAAACTTTTTATGATGAGAGGGGTGAAACACTGGAACAGGTTGCCCAGAGAGATGGTAGATGCCCCATCCCCTGGGTACGCTCAAGGTGAGGCTGGACGGGGCCCTGAGCCACCTGATCTAGCTAAAGATGTCACTGTTTGCTGCAGAGAGGTTGGACTAGATGACCTTTCAAGGTCCTTTCCAACCCAAACTATTTTATAATTCTATGAAAACCAACCAACCTTGGTTGACTGCAGTGGGAGCTTCAGTTGTGGTCATCTAAATGTAAGTGGCTTTTATCTGCTAATTGAATCTCTCTCCAAAAAAAAATTGATAGTTACAGCCAGTGGTCAGCAGGACAGTGAACTCACTGTGCAGTTTTTCTGAAAAGGCTTACACAATCCATTGATATAAGAACAACAAGGTATTTCTGCTGGATTACTTCTGGAATATTGTATTGGACAGCTAATTAATTAATCAGAAATTAGTAAAGAATAACAAGAAAGATCAAAAGATTTAATATTTTTTTCTTCACAAAGGAAGCTTTATTTAGCACACTGAGGAACAGAATTTGATTATAAGACTCTTCACACTAGCAGATAGTGATATCGTAGCTGTTTTAAGACTAGTAATGGAAATTAAAAACATGCAACTAATGGATCTAAATTTAAGTGAGGGTATTCACCTGTTGAGATGATCTGTCTTCCAAAGCTGAAATTGCTTGCCAAATTCAAATGCAACTATCACATTTGAAACAGAAATTAACAAGGAATTCTCTTTTGTTTTGTAAGACCGAAGAAGGTCAGTCTCTGTTGCCCAGTCTGAACAAGTAGGCTGGCAGATAGTAGACGCTGTTGCATGAACTTGGTATTGTGCTTTGAAATATGTTACACATATTCACGATATTTGTGATTCTTCTTTTAAAACTGCTTTTCAAAACATAACTCCTGCAAGAAAAGCCTGTAGGTAAAATACATGTAAAACTTATAAATGGATTTTTGGCTGTGGCATGTGTTTGGAAATGGTATATCAGCTTTAGACTCTTGCATGTTCTGTTTTTATTTTTGTACATATTTGTGCTGAGGCTGGCTGGATTGGAGTTAATATTCTTCATAGCCACCCTTGGGGTGCTGTGTTTTAACTTGGTAACCAAAACAGTGCTGATGACACACTAATACTCCACCTATTGCTGAGCAATGTTTGCACAGTGTCAATGCTGCCCTCTGTTTCTTAGTCTGCCCTCCAGTGAATAGAGTGAGGGGGTGTGCAAGAGATTGGGAGGGCACACAACCAGGCAGATGACCCAAACTAACCACAGAGGTATTCCATAACACCATACAGCATCATGCTCAGCATGGGAAAAGAGGGGGGTTTAGTGAGGTTAGCCATTGTTTGGCCAGACACTGGCTGGGTATAGCTCTGCCGGGGGGAGGTGGTGAGTGATTGCTTTTGCATCACTTGTTTTGTTTGTTTTCTTTCTCTCTTCTCTCACTTCTCCTTTGCTTACTAAACAATTTTATCTTGACCCCCAAGTTCCTTGCCTTTCCTCTTCCCCCTCCAGGGGTGGGGGGAAGAAATGAGTGAGTGGGTGGGTTTGTGGTGCTTAGCTGCCTACTGGGGTTTATATATGTATATACATGTCAATGTGTATGGATACATATCTTCATGAAAATATAAAATATATCTCATATATTTATGGTTGTCGTAAAATGAAATTGAAATCTTCATGCTTTGCTGAGTAAGTTAAACTATCGTATGCAAATGGGAGATGATTTGAAAGTGTTTGAGAGCAATGTGTTAAATCTTATCTGCTTGTTGCTTTACAGTAGCTGAAATTCTGATTTTCTTACTGCACTGTAGATTAGTCTTATCTTCAATGGAGTGATTGTACAAGTGAAAATAATTAGACTGACTGGAAAATAAACGCTTACAGTATGAATAATTTGGAGAGCATAAGGGAACTTGCTCACTACTAACCTGAAAGATTAGCTTTTGAGAACTTCCTGTAGTGGATTGAACCATTACGTGTGAAACAGAATGCTTAGAAAAATTTGAAGTTGGATGCACAACATACAAAATAATTTGTGAATTTGGAGTAGAATTTTGAAAGTGATCTCTATATGATAGCTTAAAATACGTAATGTTGTCATACATTATTTTTAAGTATCATTATGGATCTTTGGACCTTACAGTTTAAATATTGTGTGTTATCAGCTTTACAGCCATGAATGAAAACTTTTTCTTTTAATCAGGATGAAAATAATACAGAGAATGCTGTCAGTTCTTCAGATGCTGAGAAACAGGATTCTCCTCCACCAAAGCCTCCACGGACCCGCAGGTAGTTAACTATGTTAATATACTGTTTTAAGCTGAGAGATTGACGTGCTTAATAAATAAAAAGTAGAATAAAACTACTCATACTATAAAGACTTTAAAGATGCAATTATTTTCTCTTTATGGATAGAAACATACATAATACAAATAGAAGTCTTGTAATTGACTCTGTAAATATAAGCTTTAATATGTTTGCAAAGTCTGTGTGTGAGTATACTAATCTTGCAATGACTACGTGTCAGCAGACAAGCATACCCCTTTAGCAGTCAGATAAGTTAGATCTACTTGTGCTCTAAATCTGCTACACGATAGTAAGAAAACATGCTTCAGGAGAGGTTCAAATAATGACTGAAGCCTCATTTTTGGAGGCAAAACCCTAACGAACCGTATCCATTTATTCAAGAAAATGTTACCTTACAGACAAGTACTGTTATTGACCTAGTGTGTGCCAACAAAATGCTTTTCTTTTTGAGAAGAAAAATTGGTTTCACCAATCCTTTCAATAGAGAAGAAAGAAAATCCTCTCTATCTCTTAAAATACATAGACTTGACTTTAAGGAAGCCAAAAGTAAATCTGAACTAACAGATTCATCCACCTAAAATGGGTACCCAACCTGAGTGTTAGCTAAAGAAGGAACTCTCCTGAAGTAAGTGCCCGAGTTCCCTAGCTAGTTTCTGGAAGGATTAAGGGACCTTTGGCAGGTGATCTTGCCTGTGCTACATGGCCTGTAGCTAAACAGACATTTAAGGTAAGCAGTTGGGTTTCCTGAAGTTGTAGAAAGACATAAGAAACCACCAGCCATTAATATTCTTGCATAACATTCAGTCATATAAGGAAAGTAGTGCAAGGCCAGGTCAGTAGTGGGAATTCCTATTAATTTGATACTTTTTTAACAGTTGAAGGTAGAAGATGAGAATTAACGCCTTCTTTCCAGTGCTGCATTTGGCAGGGTACAAATGATGTGGTAAAGTGAACCCATTTTTGAGGGGCTAGCAAGATGAGAGCAGTGGTTACACAATAAAGTGAATTTTAAGTCCTAAAATATTCTAGGTGGGGTAAAGGAGGAAGTTTAAATGTGTGTGCATACATAGAAAATGTAATTGGACATAGCCATTTGAAAATTTGTGACTCAGTGCTATCAGTGGGCATGTATATTCAATAAATATAGTTTAAAACTGGGTATAGAAGTGTTCCACTTAGCTATTAACTAGTAATTTGGACCAGATCTAGAATATTGCATGTGATTCTAATGGCCGTTCTAATGAGGGTATCAGAGAACTACCATAAATGGACCTATTGCTCTACTTCTGTAGTGGCCCTGGGGATGGCATTTGCAATAAGATAAGTTTGGACATAATATATGATAAAAACCATTAATGATACAGTAGGATAAGAATATGAATAGCTGTTATAGTTAACTTAGCATTAGTTATGTCAAGCAGAAGTTAGAGGAGAATAAGAGATTGAAAGAGAGACATGGAAATGGGTTGGGGCTCTTCACAAACAAATAGTACAGTTTGTGCTATGTAGGTGTTATCATTTTTACCTTATTTAAATTGATGGTAAAGTGATTGTATTCAGTTATCTAGATTAAGATGATGACAGGAGTCTGTTAACCTGTGCTCATGATGAGTTCCAAGCTCTTTTTGAAACTTATTACATCGAAGTTCAGTGACTTTCTGTCCAATAGGTAACTTCCTTATTAGTGTCCGTTGAAAAAATCACACAGAATCACAGAATGGTAGGGGTTGGAAGGGACCTCTGGAGATCATCTAGTCCAACCCCCCTGCTAAAGCAGGTTTGCCTAGAGCAGGTCACACAGGACTGCATCCAAGCGGGTTTTGAATATCTCCAGCGAAGGAGACTCCACAGCCTCCCTGGGGAGCCTGTTCCAGTGCTCTGTCACCCTCAGAGTAAGGAAGCCTTTCCTTGTGTTCAGGTGGAACTTCCTGTGCTCCAGTTTGTGCCCATTGCCCCTTGCCCTGTTCTTGGGCACCACTGAAAAGAGCCTGGCCCCATCCTCTCAACACCCACCCTTTAGGTATTTATAAGCATGGATAAGGTCCCCTCTCCCCTTCTCCAGGCCAAACAGCCCCAGGTCTCTCA